ATGTTGTTCTGCACTGTTTCAATGGATTTTAAATTTGTAGTTTAGCCAAACATATTTTTTCCTGAGTAGTATAGTCTTTTGTTATGATGAAAGAATGGTCTTCATGATAATCAGATTTGCTTAGCTGAACTTGTTTTGAGAGAATATTTATATAAAAGTGGAGTCTGCTGAAGAATTATGTATACCTGCGCTTCAGGACAAAGATAGAGAAATGTGGGTTTTATCTTTTAGATGTGAGGATTTTCTATTAATGTTCACTGCGAGAATGAAATCTGGTGGTTATTATGTGATTGAACAGAGGTTTTTGTTTACCAGACCAGAGATTTAATTTTTTTCAATTTTGCCCTTAGCTATATCTTGCAGGATCTTTTTTCTCTGTCTTTTCTGCCTGCACTGTTGAGTGTAAATTAAAATTTTCTGTTACAATTGAATGTAAATTAATGAATGACAAAATATTTCATGGTTGGTTTTGGTAGTGAAGACACATGGTCTTAAGTCAGTATAAAACAAAGGATAAGACCATCATATTTCCAACCAGCTTCCTCACGAGAGACCATGCCAGCTGTACAGATGGATGGGATCATGATTATGTGTTCAATGAAATAAGGGCAAATGTTCATATTTCACAATTTTATGAACAGGAAGAGCTTTACGTCTGCCATATTTAATGTCATTTAAATGATGCATATTGTAGAGCAGCAAAAGAGAAGCATGTATGTAATAAAAAAGGATTGCTAATAACAAGAGACAAATACAGGAGTTATGCATGTGAACCCAGAGCATTAAGAGCATCGCTATTCTTTCCCATTCAAAATTTTACACCAACTCTGCCAAGCTAATGTGGCATGAGGAGGAGGGGGAATTAGAAGACTGTGTGGCAAAAATGCTAATGAGGTAATATCTAAAGGACTTGACACTGGACCAGGGATTGTGCAAACCTAGTGTAATAGCCAAAGGACAATAGCTTCTGCCTTGAAAAGTTTATAAACCATACAGGCAAGACAGGGTGAGCAGAAGGGAAGTTAACGGTTTCCTTAGGAAACAGTGATTTCTTTTGAACTCAGATGGTCAATTAGTTTTTGCAGAATTCCTGACAAACTTCTCCAGGGATGAAAATTAGGCTTCTAAAGTCTCTAAGTGTGTGTATATTGAAGGAGGCCACTGTGGAGCTGCAAGTGCTGTGAATTTTGCAGTGGTGGTTGTCAAACGGATCTTGCCTGGACACCTGAGTTTCAGCTTTTGCTTGGCTTAGCAGGAGGAGTTATGCAGATCTCCAAGAGGAGTGAAAACCCCAAAGCTTCCAGGATCACTGGCAGCCTAGAGAGAAAAGAGTAAAGTGGCAGGGGTGTGGAGCAAGGCTGAGGTGAAGAAGTTAAATTGGATAAAGGAGGCAACAAATTGGCAGTCGGTGAGAATGAGATTCACATAGGAAAATGCCCTGTGAAAAGCTGTCCAAAACCCTGTAGTTTCCAGCAGTAGCCCTGGGCTATTTTTCTGCTTCAAATACTGTTGTTTCCTGGGTGCTCAGCTTCACAGAAAGGATTTCAACGTAATAAAAGCAAGACAAGACCATGGGTGGTGAGGGAGAATGGGATTAACAACACTGTCACTTCAGTACCTTGGGCAAGACGCGTTGCCAGTTGCTGGTTTTACTAGGTAGGTATCACAAGGTACTTGCAGTATTTATTATAATGCTGGCTCTGAAACTGCCCGGGGTGTAATGCTTGCAGGTGTTTACCTCTGTTTTTTTACATGTTGTATAAAGGCAGACATAGGGCCTACAACCTAAGATCTAGATCATGCAAGGAATTAAGCGTGTGACAGCAGCAGCCGCCTCAAGTCAGTGAATCTGATGTGAGCTGTCTAACCCAGGCTACTTCCTGTCATACCACTTCTTTACTCTCAAATTGATTGCAGGAGATGAGCAGATTTTTCTAAGACTCACATACGTGATGTTCAGTTATTCTTTATGGTTAGGGATGTACACAGACAAGTGATCTGAAGCGAATGACCAGGAATAGCATTGAAGGAAGGTATCAAGAGTAAGCTGGGAAGAGAAAGTAGAGAACACAGATGAGTAGCACTGAAAAAGGGAAAAAGAAAGAAATGCTGACCAGCGTTCGAATTTGGAAACTGCTATTAGAATGCCAGGGCCATACCTTTCAATGCAATGGATGGCTAATACCAGTGCTAGGAACACAGCTAGAGCTAATTTGTCTAAATATGCCCATCTGGCAAACAAATTAATAGCCTGCTTCTGCAGCTTTTTCTTCAGGGCCTCAGGGGACTGTGTCACCACTGAGGGGTAAATAATTTTAAGAGAAGTTATTTTCTAAATAGGGATGGTGCAAACTGTACATTTCTGACTAGATGGCAGGTCTCGAGGGCCAGCTTCATCCTGTAGTTGGTGTTCTTGTAGTACTGCTAGCCATGGTTTTGGGGTGGGAAAACTGATTTCCTGCATCAGTTGATTTAATGGCTAAATTCTGGCTTTAAGATAATTTATGATCAAGGTGGAAGTATATGCTGACGACACCTGTATATATATATATATATTTAAGATGACAAATTGCAGGGGCATAACTGAAGTCATAGTTAAAGGACTATGTGGTGGTTTAAGTAACTGTAGCAAGCCAAACGGACAGAAACCAAAGCTTCCCAAAAGTTGATGTACTTTCAGCCGACCAGTGTTAGAAAGAGGAAAGATCGGGTCCTTGGCAGAGCTCTGGCCCGTTAGGCAGCCTGCTACCGCGGTAACCTGCGGGCTGGAGGGAGCAGCTTGCTCGGCTGTCAGGGTGAACCTGCGAAAAAACTGCTCCCCGGTCCCTGCCGCCAGGCTGGTTTCGGCAGAGGGCACTCTGTTCCCAACGATGGAGGAGGCGCTTTCCCGTGCTGGTGAGAAACCTAAACAGATCGGAAAAGTTTCCAGTGCAACATATTTGAACAAACTCTTCATCGGTTATGTTTAGTTCACTGGAGCATATTTTTAACTTCAGTGGCAGGGAGAACAGCCCTTTTCCTACGCGCTGCTCTTAGCGGGCTCGGCGGAAGCCGGGGACACCAGGGGAGGCCGTAGCGCCAAGGTAGAGGATTTCAGTGCTCCTGCTCGGCAGCCCGAAGCTCAGAGGGAGAAAGAGAGCGAAACTGTCCTGCGAGACGTACTCGTCAGATTTACAGTAGGAAACCTAAAAATATCGCAGAGGGCAGCATGATTAAAGACCTCCTCGGTGTGCGCGCAGATTTGCAGCTGTATTGTGAGAGTTACTTGGAGATGAGACACAGGACGGTTGTGGTTTTGGAAGCTGCTTTGCATCAGATTTGGGGGCTGACTTCACGGTAGCTTTTGCGCCTCGGGGGAAGACGAACCGCTTGGTCCGGGGCGGCCGGGGTCTCGGTTGCT